CATGAATAACCAATCGGAAGCTCAGAATGTCCCCTAGTGGTTTTCTCAACATTTCTAACATACCTAATGCCATTTCTTTCTTTTGAACCAAGATTTCAATGAGATAGGTTGTGTCTTTAGTCTACTCAAAATTGCATATTTGTTTAGACCCAAATACAGCTTAGTTACTATGTTTGATAAATTATAGTAGAATTCTATGGTATTTATCTAGTAATTTATGATTTTTTAGTTATTCAAAAGTATATATAAAACCTAAAAAAATATTTTGTTTCGTATCCTCCACGTGCAATATTTTTAATAGTTTAGCAACCTAGATCAAGCAGCAACCGAGTACAAAGGTTGTAACTACAAGAGATAATTGTTTGCTTTACTTCTTCATTTACTGTTCTATGTTTTAAGAAAAATAACTCAAAGAACTTATTTTAAAAGAGAAATAATCTATATACATATATTATGTATAATAATTAAAATGTGACTGTATTTTACAAAATACTAGTTGACTAAAACACATCCAAGACAAGTTACTTTGTACAGACCAAAGGTCATCTTTACGTTATTTGATACGGGTAATGTGATTGCACATAAGCCGTATCATTGTAACTTCTATATTGTTAGCTAGGCACAGGTGAAAAATCAATATAATAAAAATAATAAATATATAATGTTATGAGATTTAACTATTTCATTTAAACATGTTTTCATGTTATAGTTTGTGTTCAATCTAGAATGAAAGAGGCGTGATTTGTGTCTATTTCCTAATTTTTTATGGTGGTTGCAAGATCGGTCAAATTCACAGAACCTGTAAGAGATTAATTATTGAAAATAAGAGATAAAATATATAGTTTTTCTTACGAAATGTTGGATAACTATCCAGACATTATAAATACTTTGCATGTGAAATTTCAAAATTATCTGATTCATAAAAGCATTTTTAATCTTAAAATGAAAATTACTTTGCATGACAGACATGCAAGATGTAATGTTTACTGGTAAACTGCCAAATTTCGTAAACATTTGCTCACTAATTTAAAATTTATTGCACTTAAAATGACATGTAAGCAGCCTTGAAACATATAAACAACCCTATTCTAGATCAACATTTAATACATTATAATTTGGATAGTTGAGCAGAGCATGACAGTTGTATTTTTCTGTTTGAATGCAAAAGGAACTCTTGTCATTCCATTTTCTCAAGATATTATTAGTTGTAGGCGATTCCTAGATATCTTTCCAGTTGTTTATTGATTATACTACTCATACAGGAAACCAATACAGTAAACTGAGTCATCAGCTGTTCATATTCTTAGGTACTGATTACTCTATTCTTTTAGTACACTTCTTATATTAGATGCAGTATTTCATATTTTTTTGAGTCATCAGTTGTTCTTAATCGTAGGTAATGACCATCCTGTTCTTAATTTTTATGTCAATGTCTTCAGTTCTTGTAAGTCATCATTCATGATTGTTCCTTAGTAGCTACCATCTTATTTATGGATTATACTATATGTATGTCATATTGATGTTTTATCTTTCTTTTCCTTACTCATTGTGGTGTAAAAACTGAGCTTAGTCCTGTTTTGCAACAATACTAAATACACATGTTACAAAGCAAATAGTTTCACACACCAAGTTTCTACATGGAAATATATAAAAAAATTGATCTTCCTGTTGAAAAGCATTTGTATTAATACCACCCCCATATGAAAGTTTAGGCAAACATTTATCATAGCTATCATTTAATTGTGTAAGTGCAGTTAATTTTGTTTACTTTTCACCAGGTTTCAGAGAGTGGCAAGTGTAGATCCAATACGAAAGAGGTTTTTTTAGTGCATAATAAAGCTTTTTTTTTTTCAAAATTTAAGACAGTATAGTTGGGTAGATATATTTAAACCAATTTTAAGTACTTATGCTTTATTAAACATTATTTCCTGGCATTCATGACTGATTTATTAAACCATTTTCTTATTTAAACATCCATCAATGTTGCATCATACAAAAAAAAAAAGATTGAGATTCTACCTATAATATGAGAGAAAATAGACTTTTTATTTGGCAGATTCTCTAAGTCTATGTCATAATTTAAAAATCTGGTCTTCACCAATTGTCAAAATAAAAAGGTTTTTACTTATACTTCTTAATGGTGTAAATATATGTACTGTGTTGTTTTTGAGCTTTGGATTCTTCTACAGTAAGTGTGTGTGTGTGTGGCTTGTTAGCGATAAATTCAACAATGAATAAACAGCACGTATTTCACTTGTTTTCAAATAATATATATATTTTGAACCAGTTAAACATATGTACAACAAATTCTTCCCACTATAGATATTACGGTCATATCATAAACACCATATATGTAGTTTTCTTCTTGTCAAAAGTCCACTTTAGCCTATTCAATTACTTTAGAATTCCAGTTGACAAGCTAAACTATTTTCTATATTACTATCACACTAGTATTCTGTATGTGATTCACTTACAATTGTGGCATGAGTTACCATAATTGTTTGGTCTTCTTTCTTACGAAAATCCTCTGTACTTTTTGTCAAAGTACACTGAGGCTGAATCAATTACTTTAGAACCACACTTTGAAGGAATAGAATTATTTTTATCTTCTTTTTCTACTGTTAGTTTTACTATAACATTAATTGTTAGGTATATTACTCCTACGGTAGTTAACTTTTCCTTTTGTAACTTCACTTTCTTCTGCTATTATCTGTCTGCTATTTCCGCTCATCTCATTATATTTATATCTTTATCACCTAATCATCTGTCCACCATCTATATTCTTGACATCAATGTATGGCACACAAAGTTCAATAGTCTCAAAACAAATGAATTGTTAACAAAACTTCCTACAATCGTCTGCTTTTAACTATTATAACAAAAACAAAACAATAATAAAATATTCACTCACAAAAGAAATTAATCAATAATGTCTAAACTAAACAGTCATATATATCATGACAGTCTATAAAAAACGGTGGGTGCAATTGAGCATTTTAAGTGCTTCTTTTCTGCACATAGCATTATCCTATAAATGGCTAGTAATATTCCAAAACTAGCCTAGTCAGCAAGCATTTAGAGAGTAAATGGAAATGAGCCAGGTCCTGAAGATATGCTCAAAAACTTGAGGATAGTGCAACAGGAAAACAGGAAAGTAAGAGAACATAAAATTGAAGCTGTCCAGTGCATCCCATCCTGACTGAAGGTATGAAACGTTAACTGGAGAATGACCATCACATCTCAAATGTTCCACAATGCTATGCAAGAACATGCATGGGGAGGTGGGAAATGATACATGCTAAAGCATCATCCTCCACCTGATGGCATCCTCTGTCCATTTCGTGAAGCTTCAGCATAGAGGGTAAAATAGTACTTAGGACAATTGGAAAAATAAAACAAATCATATGAGAGTCCTGACTGGACAAAATCACCTAAACATGGAGTATCATGTTACAAGAGCAAGAGACCATGAAGGTTTTTTTTAATTAGCTCAACTGAACTTACATGTTATGGAAGTGCACTCTTAAGATGATCGAGTACATCATGGTAAATAAGATGGATAGCCAACTTGTAAATTTTGTCAGGATAAGATCTGAAGTTTCATCATCAGGTATAAACAACCTCTTTTGAATTATTTGGTAAATGTGAGATGAAAACAAACAGCCCT